CCTGGAAGCTGATTGGTTTCTATGCAGAGATGCACCAGGTTTTGCACGCTCAGATTTTACTAAATCAACCCCTTAAGGCGACCAACTTGAGAGCTACTAATACAGAGGACTGCTACACACATTCCAGTGGAAAGGAAATATAAACTTAGAGAAAGAGCGCAAAAAAAAAAAAAAAACTAGTTCAGTTTTGCTTCATGTTCAATGATCACAGGACTTTTTCATCTGTTTTTCGCCAGCTTTGGTTTTACTTGGAATACGGTGACTATGGAGTATTTTCCGAACCCTATTCTTATACTCACAGCTTCCTGGCTTTGTGTTGGATCAAAAGCAGCCAAATCAAACCAGAGATTTCTTTAATACGGTAAAGAATTGTACGTACATATGAAGAAGTCATTTCAAGGCGTTCTGCCAAGAACAGCTCACACACAAACTATTCAGACTATATCAGGAATGCAGAAAATGGGACAAAATTTATTAAAGACGTTTGGGCATGTTTAATAGAAGTACCCAACATCAGGTGCCACAAGAAATAAATAGGTGGCACAGCTACTGCATGCCCATTGGAAAGCTTTTGTGAACACTGTATATGAAAGGGTTGTGGTGACTGGTGGAAGTAGCATAACCTAGAGAAATGGTCTTCAAACTGCGGCCCGGGGGCCGAATATAGACCTTTGCTTGCCTGTAACTGGCCCTTGCACCACAATTCCTCCCATTGACAACAAAATGGGGCATAATTCCCCCCACTGACACCAATGATGGGGCACTATTCCTCCCACTGACACCAATGACGGGACACTATTCCTTCCACTGATACCAATGACGGGGCACTATTCCTCCCACTGATACCAATGACGGGACACTATTCCTCCCACTGACACCAATGACGGGACACTATTCCACCCACTGACACCAATGATGGGGCACTATTCCTCCCACTGACACCAATGAGGGGGCACTATTCCTCCCCCTGATACCAATGATGGGGCACTATTCCTCCCACTGACACCAATGATGGGGCACTATTCCACCCACTGACACCAATGATGGGGCACTATTCCTCCCACTGACACCAATGAGGGGGCACTATTCCTCCCACTGATACCATTGATGGGGCACTATTCCTCCCACTGACACCAATGATGGGGCACTATTCCTTCCACTGACACCAATGATGGGGCACTATTCCTCCCACTGATACCAATGATGAGGCACTATTCCTCCCACTGATACCAATGATGGGGCACTATTCCTCCCACTGACACCAATGAGGGGGCACTATTCCTCCCACTGATACCAATGATGAGGCACTATTCCTCCCACTGACACCAATGATGGGGCACTATTCCTTCCACTGACACCAATGATGGGGCACTATTCCTCCCACTGACACCAGTGATGGGGCACTATTCCTCCCACTGACACCAGTGATGGGGCACTATTCCTCCCACTGACACCAATGATGGGACACTATTCCTCCCACTGATACCAATGATGGGGCACTATTCCTCCCACTGACACCAATGATGGGGCACTATTCCTCCCACTGACACCCATGATGGGACACTATTCCTCCCACTGACGCCAATGATGGGGCACTATTCCTCCCACTGACGCCAATGATGGGGCACTATTCCTCCCACTGATACCAATGATGGGGCACTATTCCTCCCACTGACGCCAATGATGGGGCACTATTCCTCCCACTGATACCAATGATGGGGCACTATTCCTCCCACTGATGGGACACTATTCCTCCCACTGACACCAATGATGGGGCACTATTCCTCCCACTGATACCAATGATGGGGCACTATTCCTCCCACTGATGGGACACTATTCCTCCCACTGACGCCAATGATGGGACACTATTCCTCCCACTGATGGGACACTATTCCTCCCACTGACACCAATGATGGGGCACTATTCCTCCCACTGACACCAATGATGAGGCACTATTCCTCCCACTGACACCAATGAGGAGGCACTATTCCTCCCACTGATACCAATGACAAGCCATTATTCCTCCCACTGATACCAATGATGGTGGACTATTCCTCCCACTGACAAAAATGATGGTGGACTATTCCTCCCACTGACACCAATGATGGTGGACTATTCCACCCACTGACACCAATGATGGGGTACTATTCCACCCACTGATACCAATGATGGGGCACTATTCCTCCTACTGACACCAATGATGGGGCACTATTCCTCACACTGACACCAATGATGGGGCACTATTCCTCCCACTGATACCAATGATAGGGCACTATTCCTCCCACTGATACCAATGATGGGGCACTATTCCTCCCACTGATACCAATGATAGGGCACTATTCCTCCCACTGACACCAATGAAGGGGCACTATTCCTCCCACTGATACCAATGATGGGACACTATTCCTCCCACTGACACCAATGATGGGGCACTATTCCTCCCACTGATACCAATGATGGGACACTATTCCTCCCACTGACACCAATGATGGGGCACTATTCCTCCCACTGATGGGGACTCTGATGTAAGGAAGGACACTGATGGGGACCCTGATGTAAGGAAGGACACTGATGGGGACCCTGATGTAAGAAGGACACTGATGGGGACCCTGATGTAAGGAAGGACACTGATGGGGACCCTGATGTAAGGAAGGACACTGATGGGGACCCTGATGTAAGGTAGGACACTGACGGGGACCCTGATGTAAGGAAGGAAACTGATGGGGACCTTGATGTAAGGAGGACTCTGTTGGGAACCATGATATAAGGGGGATTCTAATGGGCTCATGTTGATTTTGAATTTCTTTACTTTGTTTTTTACTAAAGTTTTTTTCTATTGCTCCAAATCCTATCATGCTGATTAAAAAAAAAAAAAAAAAAAAAGTTCCTAGAAAACATTCATTTAAATACGATTTTTTTCCTTTATAAAACAAATGTTTTTTCAGCCCCAGATATCTGTAAAACATACAATGTGGCCCTCGTAGTGAAATGTTTGGAGATCCCTGACCTCCATGATTGTAACTTGAATGTAAAGTCCAGTCTTGGCAGATTCGTGTAGCCAGAGATGAATGGAGCTCCCTGCCGTCTGTGTGCCTTTCATGCAGATTATTTGCTAGGGATGAATGCACTTTGCTCGGTACACTTTGCCTGCTGTCTGCAGCACAGCACTGCCTTTATGCAATGCAGAAACAAAAAGGGAACAAATTCTGCACCAGAGTCCCTTTACTTGACCTCCTTTGTAGCAGGTTAGGAAGTTTACATAAGCCCAGATGTGCACACTTAGTGCATGTAATGTGACAGATTGCCCTAAAGACCTCATACAAACCGACACAGACGGAGGTCACATGAGGCAACACTATAGATCCGCACTGCTCTGGCATGCTGCTATGCACTGCTACGCCACTCAACAAAATCGTTGAAACCCAATCTGCGAGTCTTACAGATGACTACCAACCTCTATGTGACGGGACATTACTCACACCAGACCTCTAAACGGTCCTCAGTCATCCACGTGTCAGTGATAAAAATCCCCCCAGAGCCACCAATCAGCTGTCTTCAGGTCAGGTCTAACAATTCCTCAACAGACTATACATTTTGCGTTCACTTTGAACAATCTCATTTTTACAAACAGCTCCGTGGTGCAAGGGCTTGGCAGATTTAATAGAAACTGAATGATTGTTTAGGTTGGCCGTCACGTTACACCCGAAGGAGAATTTAGGGAAATCATACAATCAGCACAGGGGCGGACTGACAACTCATGGGGCCCCCGGGCAATAGGGGATCATGGGGCCCCTGTGTCCTTGCCCAAATTAAAAAAAGCCTATGAAAAAGGTACCAAGGGCATCTCATGGGGCCCCCTACTGACCCCGGGCCCTCGGGCAGTGCCCGAGTTTCCAAATGGTCAGTCCGCCCCTGATATCAGCATGTAAATTGTATGAACAAATAAAATTAGAACTATGCCCCCCCTCCCCATTAACAAGCTATATTTATAATTCCATCTGCACTTACAGTTTTCTCTTACATCCCTCTACGAAGTCCCACAAATACCTGTTGATCCTGCCAGTGAAGTCCTCCACATGCAGCTTCCTGAGATGAGGTGACAACGCTGCTGCACAGCTCCCGAATTCAGAGCAAAGTTGTCACTCTCATGTAGGCTGTGGCCTGCATGCATTACAATGAGAGATGTCACAGGGGGTGTGGCAATCAGCACTGTTACAGCTTTTTCAGTATGCCAACAGGCCACACCTAGCCCTGCCCACTGCTTTCTGGATTGACAGCACTGCCTCTGTTGCCAAAAGCTCTCCCACTGTGGACTGCAGTGCCTGGGAGGTGGAGGGCTAGAGACACAAGTGAAGCAGGATTTGGTTCAGTCAGGGGAGGAAAAGGATGATTTTTGTTCACTTTTCTGTTAGGCTTATGCATTGAATAGGAATTGGATTTGTTACACGTTTAGGCCGTCATATACGAGCTTTTATCTGTACTTTAATAGCTTCCCATTCACCCTAAAGCAGAAATACTGCTACAGGGCAGCACGGGTGCGCAAAATCACGCACATATTCGTGACTTTGTATCTCCAGGTTAAGGGAGGGCACATGCCGTGCGCACGCCCTATCCCCCCTGCCATTCATGGCTTCGGCTGTCAATCACCAGGTCCTGGCCGGTGATTACTCGCTGGCGCCCGGTGATTGCCCGGTGATTGCCGAGATAAACAAAACAGTTCTCTCCCCTGTCAGCTACTGCACACTGCTTTGCATGGCTGTGTGGTGCACATCGGGGACCTGAAGGCTGGCGAAGAACTGGTTTGGGTGAGGACCAGAGGCGGAGTGACCATTTGGAAACTTGGGCTCTGCCCGAGGGCCCGGGGTCAGTAGGGGGCCCCATGAGATGCCCCTGATACCTTTTTCATAGGCTTTTTTCAGTTTGGGACAAGGACACAGGGGCCCCATGATCCCCTATTGCCCGGGGGCCCCATGAATTGTCAGTCCGCCCCTGGTGAGGACGGCGCTGGACCCCTGGACGGGTGAGTGCCTATTTTTTCTTTTTTCTTTTAAAGTTTGAAATTTTAAACTTAAAGAGGTTCGCCATCCTATTTGCAAAAAAATAATTGTTTTCAAACAGGATGAAGAACCTCTTTAAGTTTAAAATCTCAAAGTGGCTGCAGAAAAAAAGCAAGAGAGCCACATGTGGCCCAAAAAGCCCCGTTTTTTTTTGTTTTTTTTTTAACATCTCCTCTTCTAGAAACTTCTCTATATCAACATAGCACTTCAGATGCAGCAAAGGGCAACAAACCTCCTAGACACACGGCATTTCTTTTCTAAGCCGATGGGCTATAAGACAGATTGGCATCGGTCCTGTGCAGGGGCGGACTGACCATTTGGAAACTCGGGCACTGCCCGAGGTCAGTAGGGGGCCCCATGAGATGCCCCTGGTACCTTTTTCATAGGCTTTTTTGAGTTTTGGCAAGGACACAGGGGCCCCATGATCCCCTATTGCCCGGGGGCCCCATGAGTTGTCAGTCCGCCCCTGGTCCTGTGGCTAGAGAATGAACAAAGGTCGGCAAATTACTCTTAGGATCTGATAGGCACCAGTGGCAGGGGTCAGCTAACCAATTTCCACCAGCTCCTGGAATTTGTCTATAGCTCTGCAATAGGCAATCGATCTTAAAATTCTACTTCACCAGGACAGTTGTCTTCATTAGGATGAGCAAGTACAGCGACGGATTTGTGGAAAGGACACTTTCGTGAATCATAAAGAAAAGCAGGAAGACGTTGGGAGTACAACCTGCCACAAGTGAAAAATCGCCGACGCTTACGCCACTTTAAAACACATTATTCTTACCCCTTTAAACGTCAAGACAAAAGGCACCAACAATATCGGTTCATTTTATCGCAATGACCTTCCCGTCTTCACTTTCTAATGTTGCTGAAGAAAAAAATAGTTGAAACAGCTGTAAAAACACAATGGGAAAAAAAATTATTTTTTTTTTTGTAAAAGGAACTGGACGGTGATGCACAACCGAGAGATAGACAGCGGAGGATTTTCAAGAGACAGAAAAAACAAATCCACGATAAAAGAAAGCTCTGAAATATGAGTTTTATATCAATTAGATACTAATGGAGTCGGAAGAACAGCTGATACTTATTACAAAAAAAAAAAAAAAAAGACACAGAGGCCCTAAGTTACAGGGACTAACAGTCAGTTGACAAGACCGGAGTCATATTTATTCAATATTAGTAAGTCATGTGCTTTAACTTCAGACTTGAATATTTTTAGCTCATATTTTAGTGCCAAGAAAGCGTGGTAACCAAAAGCCGAGGATCGCCAGAAGGCGCTTAACTGGCTTATTTATTGAGACGGTGCAAAAAGGACGGAGGATGTGCAGCGCGCAGCAGGCAACAGCGAATTTATTTCACTTACTGAAGTGAGAACTGAATTCTGATTGGCTGCTATAGGTCTCTGCACTTTGCACTCTGCCCTTACCTATACCCAAGTTATTATTATTATTATTATTATTACTACGAGTTTATATAGCGCCAAAGGGTTTGCTCAGCGCAGTTAGTGACTATCCTCAGTTGATACACAGAGATGAAACAAATCCTTCTACATAATTTCCTCCTGTTTATCTGCAGCCCTCTCTCCTCTTCAGCTGTTCAAAGTGCAGAATTTATACAGCTTGTCTGAGTTTTCAGAAAGCAAGGGGCGGGAATCTGAAGTTACACTCTGAAGATCTTAGTGGGAGCTGATTGGAGAGAAGGGACACACCCCCATTCTCACAGCACACAGAAACAGAGCTGAGGCTGTCAATCATAGGCTGTGTGCTGGAGCTTCCTCCCCAGTCACCATTTTTCTCTCAGTGTTGGGAAAACTGTCAGAAGTGACTCATGGAGATAGCAGAGGAAAGAAGCAGCAGACAGAAATTACGCTTGCGCTCTGGATTGAGACAAGTACACACTATAGAGGGATATGCTTTGTTCATATTTCATGTCAGAGGTTTACAGCCATGATATTAAATTCTGAAGGCAAAAGGGGGTCCAACCCGGTACTAGGGACTTTGAACGTGTCATGGTTGTTGGTGCCAGATGGGCTGGTCTGAGTATTTAAAAAACTGCTACTCTACTGGGATTTTCACACACAACCATCTCTAGAGTTTACAGAGAAAAAGTGAAAAATATCCAGTGAGTGGCAGTTGTGTGGACGAAAATGACTTGTTGATGCCAGAGGAGAATGGGCAGACTGGTTCGAGATGATAGAAAGGCAATAGTAAATCATGTGAATATGGATCAAAATCTCTGAGGAATGTTTCCAACACCTTGTTGAATCTATGCCACAAAGAATTAAGGCAGTTCTGAAGGCAAAAGGGGGTCCAAAACGGTACTAGGGACTTTGAACGTGTCATGGTTGTTGGCGCCAGATACGCTGGTCTGAGTATTTAAAAAACTGCTGCTCTACTGGGATTTTCACACACAACCATGTCTAGGGTTTACAGAGAATGGTCCGAAAAAGAGAAAATATCCAGTGAGTGGCAGTTGTGTGAACAAAAATGACTTGTTGACGTCAGAGGAGAATAGACAGACTGGTTCGAGATGATAGAAAGGCAACAGTAATTCAAGGTATGCAGAATACCATCTCTGAAAGTCCAACCTTGAAGCAGATGGGCTACAGCAGCAGAAGAACACACCGGGTGTGTCAATGTCCCCATCTTCTGATGGCTACTTCCAGCAGGATAATACACTATGGCACAACAGAGGAGAATGGGCAGACTGGTTCGAGATGATAGAAAGGCAACAGTAAATCATGTGTCTATGGATCAAAATCTCTGAGGAATGTTTCCAACACCTTGTTGAAGATATTCCATGAAGAATGAAGGCAATTCTGAAGGCAAAAGGGGGTCCAACCCGATACTAGCAAGGTGGACCTGATAAAGTGAGTGCACTTGAAGTAATTTTAGAAAAGGTATTTACTAAAATTTTCAGCTTTTATAGGCTTTAAGTTAAAAAAACGCAAGCGGGCTAAAAAAAAAAAAAAGCTGATCCTTAGAACTTCAAGAAAGTTGCTGCAAGATTCCTAGTAGAACAATAACTGATCCATTGTATCTTCTACGCATTCCATAATAAGGACAATCAATGAATACAAACGGTTTCATGCTAAAGTAGAAAAAAAAAAGAAAAAAAGGTAAGAGTCAGGTCTCTAATCCTTCACAAATCATAAATGTAATAGTCCGTCCATTAGAAGGTTTCCCAACCTACAAAATGCACTTTACTGGGTAGCCAGTCTGTTTCCTGGTCTCACTTTTCACCGTTAACGTCTGTCAGATACGCTTATTAAAACATGCATATCCAAGGACCAAAATCATGATTATTAGTGAAAGGCTTTTAGAAGAGGTCTGGAAAGTGTATAATGTATGTTTTGTGGTTAGAAGAGGTGAAATGAACACGGTCCCCTTATAAATTATTCAGCTCTTCATCACTTAAGTACTTTCAATGTTGTTCATTTGAGCGTTGAAGAGCGCAGTGCTATCCAAGCAGAAGACGTAGATCAGAAAAATTAGACGGGGACATAGAGTAACATTCCTTTAAACATCCAACGCATCCTCGGAGGAATTCCAAAATGTATTTAAAGGAAACTTGCACAGAGAAAAGCATGGAGGCTGCCATTGCAGACCTCATTTCCCGGCTATCTCTGGCTTCCACGACTACATTTGGCTTTCAAATGTTTCATAGATATTATTATTATTATTATTATAGAGGATTTATGGCCCCAACAGTTTGCTCAGCGCTTTACAATGTAACGGGAGGCAATACAGCAACAATACAGTTCAATACAAGAGGGATAGGAGGGCCAGAGGGTTAGATAGAATTCATAATGGCCATAGAAAGCCAAATATCATACCCAGAACATAGAGTAATGGACGGCTTGTCAGGATTTTTCAAACCGTCTAGTCCACGATATCCCACACACATCCACCAGACTAGAATGGATTTGGGAAGATCGGTGGCATGGCATTGTCCCCTATGTTCCCTCTGTGCATGTGGTAGTGCACCTTAGTGCAATGTGTGCAGCCGACCCCTGAATGGCAGCTACCTATACACCTCCCTTTTGTCCGGCACTGCACAGCCTTCACAGAAAAAGGCTCTAACCACGTCCGGCTCCTACTTCACATGCATGTTGGTCCATTCATTGCTATGGCTGGATCATGGAGACTTCCTGCTATACAAAGGTGCACAGCCTCAGCCATAGGAACACATGGGCTAAAGCAGAACACATGGGCTAAAGCAGCACACAAGGGCTAAAGCAGAACACATGGGCTAAAGCAGCACACATGGGCTAAAGCAGAACACATGGGCTAAAGCAGAACACATGGGCTAAAGCAGAACACATGGGCTAAAGCAGAACACATGGGCTAAAGCAGCACACATGGGCTAAAGCAGAACACATGGGCTAAAGCAGAACACATGGGCTAAAGCAGCACACATGGGCTAAAGCAGCACACATGGGCTAAAGCAGAACACATGGGCTAAAGCAGAACACATGGGCTAAAGCAGAACACATGGGCTAAAGCAGATCACATGGGCTAAAGCAGCACACATGGGCTAAAGCAGCACACATGGGCTAAAGCAGAACACATGGGCTAAAGCAGCACACATGGGCTAAAGCAGATCACATGGGCTAAAGCAGCACACATGGGCTAAAGCAGAACACATGGGCTAAAGCAGAACACATGGGCTAAAGCAGAACACATGGGCTAAAGCAGAACACATGGGCTAAAGCAGAGCACATGGGCTAAAGCAGCGCACATGGGCTAAAGCAGCGCACATGGGCTAAAGCAGCGCACATGGGTTAAAGCAGAACACATGGGTTAAAAGCAGAACACATGGGCTAAAGCAGAACACATGGGCTAAAGCAGCACACATGGGCTAAAGCAGCACACATGGGCTAAAGCAGCACACATGGGCTAAGGCAGAACACATGGGCTAAAGCAGCACACATGGGCTAAAGCAGCACACATGGGCTAAAGCAGAACACATGGGTTAAAGCAGAACACATGGGCTAAAGCAGCACACATGGGCTAAAGCAGCACACATGGGCTAAAGCAGCACACATGGGCTAAAGCAGAACACATGGGTTAAAGCAGAACACATGGGCTAAAGCAGCACACATGGGCTAAAGCAGAACACATGGGCTAAAGCAGCACACATGGGCTAAAGCAGCACACATGGGCTAAAGCAGAACACATGGGCTAAAGCAGAACACATGGGCTAAAGCAGCACACATGGGCTAAAGCAGAACACATGGGCTAAAGCAGAACACATGGGCTAAAGCAGCACACATGGGCTAAAGCAGCACACATGGACTAAAGCAGCACACATGGGCTAAAGCAGAACACATGGGCTAAGGCAGAACACATGGGCTAAGGCAGAACACATGGGCTAAGGCAGAACACATGGGCTAAGGCAGAACACATGGGCTAAGGCAGCACACATGGGCTAAAGCAGAACACATGGGCTA